CTGCCTGTATGACTGAAGGCCAGAAGAGGGCGCCAGACCTCTTTACAGATGGTTGTGAGCCACCATGTGGTTGCTGGGAATTGAACTCAGGACCTTTGGAAGAGCAGGCAATGCTCCTAACCACTGAGCCACCTCTCCAGCCCCTCATTTTTACTTTCTAAATGTGGGCAGTGTATGCACCTGTACACAAGTGCAGGTGCCTGAGGAGGCCAAGGTCCGTGATCCGCCTGACACAGATGCTGAGAACTGAACCCAGGTCCTCTGGAAGAGCAGCAAGTGCTCTTACCACTGAGCCACCTCTCCAGCCCAGGGTTCCAGGTACCCTGGAGCCAGCCGATGTGGTTAGCTAGGCAGGCCGACAGGGTCTGAGGCTGCTTGACGGTCTCCACAGGCTGCCAGGTGGGCACATGCTTCCTAGAGAGTGCCGGGGATCAAATCCAGTCCTCACACTTTTTTAAACCATATACTTAGCACCCCCTTTTCTTCCTTCCTTCCTTTTAGATTTATTTCGCTGTAAGCCTAGGCTGTCTTGAAAGGCCTCAAACTCATAGCACTCCTCCAGCCTCAACTCCCAGCTGCTGAGATACAGGAGTATGCTACCACACCCCCTGTCGTGTACAGTTTAACTTAGTCCACTATGGGACATCAGAGGACAGGTCTGAGGGCTTGGTGGAAAGTACCCTCACCTGCCGTGTTATCTCACCAATCGGCAATTATTTCACAGGAGGAAGCAAGCATGGACAAGTGCTAGGTGGAGGCCAGAGATAAAGCCTAGGGCCTGGAATCCCAGAACGAGTGCCGCCACCAGACAGGGACAGGACCCTGAGACGCAACAAATGTGTCCTTTCCACATACGGATGGTGGCGCTCTCGTAACGGAGGCAGGAGCATCAAGACTTCAAAGTCATCCTCAGCAACTCGCTGAGTTCAAAGCTAGCCTGTGCTACATCAGTAATCTTTTCCACAACCATTCTTCCCAATTCCTGGAAGAAACCAGACTTCCATCAAAATGTGAGCCATGGAACTCTTTGTTCTGGTTACACTGCAAACATTTGACTCCATCTGCATGCAGATACCTACTATACACTGGAAACAAGAAGCAGCCTCAGCTGCCCTGGCCTATGACTGACACAGAGGTGGCACACTTGCTACTGTTCATGGCTCTCTATCTGTGCTGCAGGAGAACACGAGTCCCCTCTCCATCACACAGGAACTGGGCCTGCTGAGTGAGAAAATGGTCACACATTTCATTTGTGACACCACAGTCTCAGATAAACAAGAAAATGGCTAATGTTACCAAAGGCTCCAGCTGACCTGTGCCCCTGGCAGGTGACCTGGGAAGCAGGAAGTGCCCCATGATGAGGGAGGGTCCCTGCCACCCACACTAAGCACCATCATGTCCTTGACCATTGAGGAACATGAAGGAGCATCCGACACCACACACTTGACATGGCCAAGTGTCATGGACCAGCCAAATGGCCCAGCCATGACACCTCCATCCAGTCTGGGGGCATCATCTGGTCCCCAGCACAGAGGCTGTATGGGAACCAAGCAGCTGACTCCATACCTCTGGAGACCCCATGGAGGGTCACTCAGTTATCCAAGAGGGTCAAGAACTGCTTCATGACCGAAGTAGGTATACCCAAGGAGGACACAGATGACAGGTAGCGAAGGAGGCACAACTGTCCCCTTAGATAACTGAAGGGATCCCTCTCCGTTAGTGGACAACTGTGCGCTCAGGTAGCAAAGGGTGACAACTATCTCCTTACTAGCAACAGTGGGACCCCTTACCCCCACAGGTAGTGATAAAGGATGGCTCCTGACACCTTAGGTAGCAATGATGGAATCTCTGTCCCATCAGGTAGCAATAAGGGGGGTGACACGTGTCCATTCTGATGGCTACGATGAGGGCGCACGTCCCCTCGGGTAGCAATGATGGATGACACCTGTCCCCTTAGGTGGCTGTGATGGGACCACCTGTCCAGTCCAAAGAGCAACCTCGGGAGCAGCCGCTCCGCACCGGCTGGCGGCGTGGGAACACCTGCGGCGGCCTGAGCCCCGCCCCCGCGTCTCTCCCTCCTCCCCTCCCCTCCCCCGTGCTCTCACCCGCGCGGCCCGCGTCAGGCTCAGGTCCTTCATGACCTCCTCGAAGGCTGCCGTCTCCTCCGCCTGCTTCTGGTTGTGCAGTGCGATTTTCTCGCTAAATTTCCGCGGATTGTTCGAAGTCGCCATCTTCGCCGCCTCCTCCTCCTACTCCTCCTCCACCTCTTCACCCCCCCCCCCACTCGCGGGCGCCACTGCGCAGGCGCCGGCTGGGCCCACGGCCGGAGAGCAATGCGCAGGCGCGGCCCGGATCACGGCGCAGGCGCACTAGAGACGCGCGGCCGAGGGTGGGAGGGGGAGAGACGCATGCGCGCACCTGGGCAGAGCGTTGGGAAACCGGGACGTGGCTACGCAGGCGCACTGAGGCGCGCGCGGCCGGTGGACAGCGGTTTCCTGATTGTGGGTTCCATGCCTTGCCCTACTGACGAGTGGCGGAAGACACGGCAGCACCGGTGCCTGCATTCGCTCGACTCCAGCGGTCACTGAGGAGTTATGGAGCGCCCGATATATACCAGGGCACCGGCGTGAACCAGCAGCCGTGGTCCCTGGGCTACTGGGCTACACAGCCCGGGAACAACCTGGAGAGCTGGAGGCCCGAGAGGCAGCCCTGGGCAGAGCCGGAATCGGCACACAGAAGCCGGGGTGCGGCCCCCAGCGACACACACACACGATTAGCATAATAAAGTTTCAGATCGGAGAAATGTGCCGCGCCTTTTAAGAATAGCGACAGTGCTGGACGTGATGGCAGAGAATGCTGGAGCCAGGGAATCCGGAGTTCAAGCCATCCTTAGCTGCAAAGTGAGTTCAAAGTCAGCCAGTGACACAGGAGACTCGCTCTAAAGGAAAGAAAAAAGACTGAGACTAGAAAAAATGGCTCAAAGGTTAAGGGCACCTGCTGATTTAGTGAAGGTACCGAATCCCAGCACGTAGGTGGAGCAGCTCACAAGTCCTTGTGACTCCGGTTCTAGGGCATCCAACGCCCTCTTCTGGCCTCGGCAACGCACGTGCGCGTGCACACACAGCTTGTGCACACACATACACAGATGCATAAGTAAACTTTTTAACTTAAAAATAGTAAGAGCTAGCCGGGCGGTGGTGGCGCACGCCTTTAATCCCAGCACTTGGGAGGCAGAGGCAGGCGGATCTCTGTGAGTTCGAGGCCAGCCTGGTCTACAAGAGCTAGTTCCAGGACAGGAACCAAAAGCTACGGAGAAACCCTGTCTCGAAAAGAAAAATCAAAAAAATAAATAAATAAAATTATCCTTGCCTACAACAGAGAATTCAAGGCCAGCCTGAGAGACTGTCTCAAAAAGACAAAAGAATTAAAAGAGAACAATGGGTCAGACAGGCCTAAGAGCAGTATTGTGGGGCCTGCTGAAGCAGCGTTAGGGACTTGTGGGCTCACATGAAGCTCACTGCATGCAGCCCCCTTTCTCCATATAGTAGGTCCCTCATCGAGACAATTCATGTTGTGGCCTGGAATCCACAGCACCTCTGGCTCCCTGCTGTGTGTCCAGCCCAGTCTTGTTAAAGTTGTCTGCTTTTCCATGGGTGCTCACAGAAAGGCCAGAAACCCAACTTGGTTTAGGAATAAAAGGGGGAATGGATGGAGCCTCCTGAGTAGCAGAGGTAGCCAGGAAGCAGTCAAGCTAAGAGCAACAGCCAGCTGTCTCCAGTCACACTGAAAGGTCCTAGTCACCGATGGTGAGTGCATACCTCAAGGGTGGCAGCAAGATGGAATGGGAAGACAGAAGGCTAGGACTTCCTCTTTGGCTAGAGTGATGGCTAGTAGGGACACTGGGGACACTAGTGTGAGGACACTAGTGGACACACCCACATTTGCCAAACTTTACAATAGGGCAGCAGGTACCACGTAATATAAACAGGTGGTCGATGATGCAGGCGGCCGAGATGACAGCTGCACCAAGGACAGTGGACAGATGTGAGGTGGTGGATGATAGACTGAGGGAGTTGTTTTGGTTTTAGAGGTAGGGTATCATTTGCAGCCCAGGCTGGCCTTGAACTTGTGGTAACCTTCCTTAGTGCTTGGCTGTCAACTCTAAACCACCACACCCAGACCTTCTCCCTGATAGGCTGTCCTGGAACCTAGGCTAGCCTCCATCTCCCTATATAGCTGAAAATGACTTTGAACTTCTGATCCTCCTGCCTCACTCTCAGGTTCTGGGATGACAGGTCCATGCTTCACCACAGTTTTGAGCACTTTCAGAGACTTCTACTTATAAACAAATAGATATGTTTATTTATTTATTTATTAAATATTTCTGTCTCTTCCCCACCTCTGCCTCCCCTTTCCCTCCCCCTCCCCCAATCAAGTCCCCCTGCCTCGTCAGCCCAAAGAGCAATCAGGTTTCTCTGTCCTGTGGGAAGTCCAAGGATTACCCTCCTCCATCCAGTTCTTGTAAGGTGAGCATCCAAACTGCCTAGGCTCCCACAAAGCCATTACTTGCAGTAGGATCAAATACCCATTGCCATTGTTCTTGATGTCTCAGTAGTCCTCATTGTCCGCTATGTTCAGTGAGACCTGTTTTAACCCAGGCTTTTTCAGACCCAGGTCAGCTGGCCTTGGTGAGTTCCCGATAGAGCATCTCCATTGTCTCAGTGTATGGGTGCACCCCTCGCGGTCCTGAATTCCTTGCTCATGTTCGCTCTCCTTCTGCTCCTGATTTGGACCTTGAGATTTCAGTCCGGTGCTCCAATGTGGGTCTCTGTCTCTGTCTCCTTTCATCGCCTGATGAAGGTTAATATTCAGGAGGATGCCTATATGTTTTTCTTTGGGTTCTCCTTCTTATTTAGCTTCTCTAAGAACCCGAATTATAGGCTCAATGTCCTTTATTTATGGCTAGAAACCAAATATGAGTGAGTACATCCCATGTTCCTCTTTTTGGGTCTGGCTTACATCTCTCAGGATAGTGTTTTCTATTTCCATCCATTTGTCTGCAAACTTCAAGAAGTCCTTGTTTTTTACTGCTGAGTAGTACTCTAATATGTATATATTCCATACTTTCTTCATCCATTCTTCAATTGAAGGGCATCTAGGTTGTTTCCAGGTTCTGGCTATTACAAACAATGCTGCTATGAACATAGTAGAGCATATATTTTTGTTGCATGATAAGGCCTCTCTTGGGTATATTCCCAAGAGTGGTATTGCTGGGTCCATGGGTAGGTTGATCCCAAATTTTCTGAGAAACCGCCACACTGCTTTCCAGAGTGGTTGTACAAGTTTGCATTCCCACCAGCAATGGATAAGTGTACCCCTTTCTCCACAACCTCTCCAGCATAGGCTATCATTGGTGTTTTTGATTTTAGCCATTCTGACAGGTGTAAGATGGTATCTTAAAGTTGTCTTGATTTGCATTTCCCTGATTGCTAAGGAAGTTGAGCATGACCTTAGGTGTCTTTTGGCCATTTGAACTTCTTCTGTTGAGAGATCTCTGTTCAGCTCAGTGCCCCATTTTATAATTGGGTTGATTAGCCTTTTACAGTCTAGTTTCTTGAGTTCTTTATATATTTTGGAGATCAGACCTTTGTCAGTTGCGGGGTTGGTGAAGATCTTCTCCCAGTCAGTGGGTTGCCTTTCTGTCTTAGCGACAGTGTCCTTTGCTTTACAGAAGCTTCTCAGTCTCATGAGGTCCCATTTATTCAATGCGGCCCTTACTGTCTGTGCTGCTGATGTTATACGTAGGAAGCAGTCTCCTGTGCCCACTTGTTGTAGAGTACTTCCCACTTTCTCTCCTATCAGGTTCAGTGTGTTCAGACTGATATTGAGGTCTTTAATCCACTTGGACTTGAGTTTTGTGCATGGTGACAGACATGGATCTATTTTCATTTTTCTACAGATTGAAATCCAGTTTTGCCAGCACAATTTGTTGAAGATGCTCTCTTTTTTCCATTGTATACTTTTAGCTCCTTTATTGAAAATCAGGTGCTCATAGGTTTGTGGATTAAAGTCAGGGTCTTCTATACGGTTCCATTGGTCGACTTCTCTGTTCTTATGCCAATACCAGGCTGTTTTTAATACTGTAGCTCTGTAATAGAGTTTGAAGTCAGGGATGGTAATGCCTCCAGACGTTCCTTTATTGTATAAGATTGTTTTGGCTATCCTGGGTTTTTTGTTTTTCCATATAAAGTTGATTATTGTCTTCTCCAGATCTGTGAAGAATTTTGATGGGATTTTGATGGGGATTGCATTGAATCTATAGATTGCTTTTGGAAGAATTGCCATTTTTACTATGTTGATCCTCCCAATCCAAGAGCAAGGGAGATCCTTCCATTTTCTGGTGTCCTCTTCTATTTCTTTCTTCAAAGTCTTAAAGTTCTTGTCAAATAGATCTTTCACTTCCTTGGTCAGGGTTACCCCAAGATATTTTATGCTCTTTGTGGCTATCGTGAAAGATATGTTTTTATATATGCACACACATATAGGCGCATGCACCTACAGATTCAGTTCTGAAACTTAGACATGATGGGAAATCGGCACACATAGGAACCTGTGTCTTCCTCAGTCACTCCCTTCATGTGGGTGTCATGGTCTCTCACTGATCCCAGAGAGCACTGACTGGCCAGGGAGTCCCAGGAATCCTCCAGTCTCCACTTCCCTTGTGCTGGGATTACAGGGGTGCCCTGCCATAATGGACCTTTTTCGTGGGCACGGGGGACTGGAACATGCTTTCAGCGCTGACACGTCACTGAAGGAGGGACCCCCACTGCTCCAGCCTGCCTGACTTGTGTCTGCACTTCAAGGCTGCTGTGCGTCTGCAGTCTTTAACCCTGGGATTCCAGCGTGGAGAAGCCTGAGGCCTGATGATTCAAGGCCAAGGGGGCTGCTGGGAGAGCTGTCTCCAGCAAGCAGTTAACAGTGTTACTGCTCTTCTGAATGACTCCAGTTCTGTTCCCAATACCCGCATGAGGGCTGCTCACGACACCTGTAGCTCCAGCCCCAACGGGGACTGACTTCTCAGGTGCCTGCAGTCTCATTCCCACACACACAAAGGTAGAGAGGAAGGGGTTCCAAACAAAACAAAAATCACACACATCTGCAGTGCCGATGGTGACTGCATGAAACACAGACCAAGGGAGGACAACAACCTTCAGGGGCAAGACTTTGTGGTCCTGACTCTAGCTGTGCCTAAGCCGGAGAACCAGGCTTGCACACG